AAACTGAACAAAACTAATCTAATGTATGACAAAGGTGACGCTATAGTGTAATATCGAAAGAATTGTCTTATAAATAATTAGTGCTGAGCCCACTGGTTATCCATAAGGAACAAAATCTGATTTCTACCCTACAGTATACACACACATACACACATACAATTCAGATACTTTTCAGATAAAAAATGGTAAAAATAATCTTGAAATATAGGATTATATTTTCACGCCCTTGGGTAAGTAAAGGTATGTTTAACAGGACACAAAAAGCACTAACAATAAAGGAAGACTACCTTAAAATTAGGAGATTATATTTATTCATTAAATTTAAAAGGAAAACCACAGTCTAGAAAAAGATGTTTGCCAGGCATACATCCCTACAATGCATGTATCCAGATTGTGCCAACTGCTACAAAATAGGAATAAAGATGACCCAAAGGGAAAACAGGTAGCAGATTTATCAGATGTTTCACCACAGTCAATAGCTGGTAAGCTTAGGAAATTTGTCCAAGCTTTATTAGATGTCAAAGAAATACTAACTAAAATTATAAATGAGATATCACTTGTATGCCCTTCAAAAGGATACAATTAGAAAGAGTGAAAACATCAAATCTTGGAGATGATATGAAGCAGCACCAGGCACTGCTGCACGAGCATTCAGTGGTATAACCACTGTGGAAAATTAAATATATTTGGTCAGATCAGCCTCCAACAAACATACATATACTTCATGATCTTACATCTCCACTTCTAGGTATATCTTTAACAGTAAAGTCTATTTAACATTTTTCAAAAGAGGAAATCCAAATGGCCAAGATACACAGGAAAAAAAGTTCAGTATCACTAGCAATCAGGGAAATGCAAATCAAAACCACAATGAGGTTTCACCCCTCCCCGGTTAGAATGGCTCACATACAGAAATCAACTAACAACAGATGCTGGCGAAGATATGAGGAAAAAAAAAGATACTAATCTACTGTTGGTGGGAATACAAACTGGTAAAGCCACTATGGAAGTCAGCTTGGAGATTCCTCAGAAACCTGAATATAACCCTACCATAGAACCCAGCCAACCCACCCCTTTGCATTTACCCAAAGGAAATTAAATTGGCAAACACAAAAGCTGTCTGCACCTCAATGTTTATTGCAGCTCAATTCACAATAGCTAAGATCTGGAATCAACCTAAATGCCCATCAACAGTAGACTGGATAAAGAAATTATGGGATATGTACTCTATAGAATACTAAAAAGCAGTTAAAAAGCAAAGAAATCCGGTCATTTTCAACAAAATGGAGGAATCTGGAACACATCATGCTGAGTGAAATAAGCCAGTCCCAAAGGAACAAATAGCATATGTTCTCCTTGATCAGTGACAACCGAGCAACCAAAGGGGAAACCTGTTGAAGTGAAATGGACACTATGAGAAACAGTGACTTGATCAGCCCTTGTCCTGACTGTTGATGAACAACTTAATAATTTATTCCTTTTAGTATTTTGTTTTGTTCTGCTTAGTACTATTGGTTGAACTCTGTAATCAACACACAATTATTCTTAGGAGTTTAAATTTAACTGAAAAGTGATCTCTGTTAAATATAAGAGTGGGAATAAAAGAGGGAGGAGATGTACAATCTGGGACATGGTCACTCAGACTTGCCCCAAATGGTAGAGTTAGAAACGTGCCAGGGGATTCCAATTCAATCCCATCAAGGTGGCATGTACCAATGCCATCTCACTAGTCCAAGTGATCAATTTCTGTTCACAATTGATCATAATGATAGGACTAAGAGTCAAAGGGAGCACATAAACAAGACTAGCGTCTGCTAATACTAACTGATAGAATTAAAAAGGGAGAGAATGATCCAACATGGGAAGAGGGATACACAGCAGTCTCATAGAAGGGCAGATGTCCTAACCAGCACTGTGGCCTTCGAATCATCCCTTAAGGCATTTGGATCTGGCTGAAGAGCCCATGAGAGTATTTTAGGCATGGAAAGCCAAGACAATCTGGCAAAAAAAAAAAAAAAAAAAAAAAAAAAAAAAAAAAACCCTAAATGAAAGATCTCTGTGAGTGAGATCCCAGTGGAAAGAATGGTGGAAAGAATGGTCAATCAAAGAAGGAGGTACCTTTCTCCGAAGGGAGGAGGGAACTTCCACTTTGACTATAACCTTGTCTAAATAAGATCGGAGTCTAAAACTAAAAAGGCTTCCATAGCCTTGGAAACTCATGACAAGAGCCTAGGGTGCTTACTGACCCCATAAACATGAGTTTCAATTTGTTAAGTCAACAACAGAAGTCACTGTGCACTTACCCCTCATGTAGGATCTCTGTCCTTAATGTGTTGTACATTGTGATTTAATGCTATAACTAGTACTTAAACAGTATTTTACACTTTGTGTTTCTGTGTGGGTGCAAACTGTTGAAATCTTTACTTAATATATACTAAATTGATCTGTATATATAGATAATTGAAAATGAATCTTGATGTGAATGGTATTGGAAAGGGAGCGGGAGATAGGAGGGTTGTGGGTAGGAGGGAAGTTATGGGAGGGAAAAAGCCACTGTAATCCATAAGCTGTACTTTGGAAATTTATATTTGTTAAATAAAAGTTTAAAAATGTAATGTCTACTTATGTGCCCAAAACACATATAAGATTAATAGTAGCCAAAAATTGGAAACAACCCCTTCCCGTCAAATGTAGGGATTAATGAATTTTTGTATATTCATGTGATGAAATTTGCTTCAGAATGAAACTTAATGGAGTGAAATTACACATATGGGTACAACAAAGTACATATCATATGATACTACTTATATAAAGGTCACTAACATGAATGCAATTTTAGGCTCAAGGAGAAAGGAGTCAAGACAGTGATGTCTTTTGGGGAGTGACAGACTGGACAAAGAGGAGTTGCTTACATGATGTTCAGTTCCTGAATATCACAGAAAACAGCATAGATATGTTCACTTTGTTAAAATATTCAATAATATTTACACTCTTGTTTCTGTATTTTTGAATGTATATGTTGGTTCAGTGATAAATTTACTGACACAGAACAAATGCATGCATGTCAAATGAAAATATGACTCAGAAGGTATTGTTTCATCTTTTCCTCATCTTCAATGACTTACTGTACCAACAAAGAAATTGTTCCAGTTGTAGGTCCTATTTTGACTTCATGGAGAGTTTAATACTCATTTTGATTTATGATAATAAAAGGTTGAGAATTTCCACTTTAAATACTTCTACAATAACTTCAAATGAAAGGTACTATAAGCCACAATAGAATACCATCTTTTAGATTCTTTTTTTTTTTATTTTTGACAGGCAGAGTGGACAGTGAGAGAGAGAGACAGAGAGAAAGGTCCTCCTTTTGCCGTTGGTTCACCCTCCAATGGCCGCCGCGGCCAGCGCGCTGCGGCTGGCGCATTGCGCTGATCCGAAGCCAGGAGCCAGGTGCCCCTCCTGGTCTCCCATGCGGGTGCAGGACCCAAGCACCTGGGCCATCCTCCACTGCGCTTCCGGGCCAAAGCAGAGAGCTGGCCTGGAAGAGGGGCAACCAGGACAGAATCCGGCGCCCCAACAGGGACTAGAACTTGGTGTGCCAGCGCCGCAGGCAGAGGATTAGCCCATTGAGCCACGGTGTCGGCCCCTTTTAGATTCTTTATGCCAATACCATTTCCCCTAAAATCTCAAAAGTTATATTGAGAAGCAACCATCTGTCTTCTTGTATCTTTTCTTTGTGATGTGAGTAGGGGAATATATTATTCATCTCACAGGTGAATAGAAGGAACCCAACACCCTAGTCAAAACCCAATTTGATGTTTACTTAAAGAGGATGATTAATTGTTTTTTTTTTTTTTAGTTTCATGTTCTTTTTTTTTTAACTTTTATTTAATGAATATAAATTTCCAAAGTACGACTTATGGATTACAATGGCTCCCCCCCCCATACCGTCCTTCCCACCCACAACCCTCCCCTTTCCCACCCCCTCTCCCCTTCCATTCACATCAAGATTCATTTTTGATTATCTTAATATACAGAAGATCAGCTTAGTATACATTAAGTAAGGATTTCAACAGTTTGCTCCCACACAGAAACATAAAGTGAAAAATAATAGATGATTTTTTTTTAAATGATGATGAAATCAGATCAGACCTATTGTCATGTTTAATCCCAGTGAGAATCAAGTTGGGAATTCATAATTTCTTTTTCTTTTTTTTTTTTTTACAGAAGATCATTTTAGTATACATTAAGTAAAGATTTCAACAGTTTGCACCCCCATAGAAACACAAAGTGAAATATACTGTTTGAGTACTCGTTATAGCATTAACCCTCAATGTACAGCACATTAAGGACAGAGATCCTACATGAGGAGTAAGTGCACCGTGACTCCTGTTGTTGACTTTACAAATTGACACTCCTGTTTATGGCATCAGTAATCTCCCTATGCACCAGTTATGAGTTTCCAAGGCTATGGAAGCCCCTTGAGTTCTCCGACTCTTATCTTGTTTAGACAAGGTCATATTCAAAGTGGAGGTCCTCTCCTCCCTTCAGAGAAAGGTACCTCCTTCTTTGAAGACTTGATTAATTGGTTTGTGACCTTACCAAGTCAGTTGTGTAATTTCTGTGTTGATCTAATCAATTAAACACAGACTACTCTAGTTAATCTCAAGGAAATGATTTTAGCATCTCTTTCAGTGGATACTTCCATCAATATTTGTTGTGGACACAAAATACTTTGGACAGCTTCCACATTTCTCTCCAAATTTTTTAAAAGATGTATTTGTTGATTTATCTGAAAGACGGAGTGACAGAGAGCAGCAACGGAAGAGGAAGAGTGAGAGGGAGAGGGAGAAAGAGAGGGACATCTTCCATCTGCTTGTTCACTCCCAAATGCCTGCAATAGCCCAGCTCAGCCAAGATGAATCCAGCAGCCAAGAACTCCTTCCATGTGGTAAGGACACAGATACTTAAAGCATTACCTGATGCTTTCCTAGGTGTGTTAGCGGGAAGCTGGATGTGAAGTGGAACAGCCAGGCATTCCAATATGGGGACTCCAGCATTGCCAGCAGCAGCTTAACCTGCCACACTCCAATGCCAGGCCACTCTCCAAAACTGTTTTTTGAGACTTCTTCAATTCTACTTACATCAGATGGAGTGCTTGAAGACTAGCTAATCCACATTCAACACCTTATGGGATGTCCCTTATTCCTTTTCACCAGGACAGCAGGTAATTCCTTAAAATGGAGATGTGCCCCAAAGCCTTATGCAGAATTCGTGGATCTGCATCAGTGGTTATGAGACTGCTTCTATTCTTCATGAAATCAAAGGTTGTTACATTCATCTTGAACTGCCAAGCCGTATATGTGAAACTAGTAACCACTATTCAAAAGATCCAGGGAGTGTTCTGATGATGGTAGTCTTCTTTTTCAGAAATAGGAGTTGTGGCATGTCTGAAATTTAATAATTTAATAATGTCCCCAGTTGTGTTACCTCAAGAAGATCATGTCAATCTATCTGATTATGCTAAAGTTGACCCTAAGAATCAAGTTCTCCTAATTTCAAGTCCAGTATTTTCTTCCAGGCATTTTCTAAATTGTATGATATGAACAAATAGCCAGGTTTGATTTGTGAATTGTGAAGATTATGCAAGTGCAGAGTTTGCAAACTTCAACCATCTAAGAATATTGGTTCAAGTTTCGTATTTGTATTTCTCTACTGTGCATGGAACATGTCTATTAAGTGAATCTCCTTAACACTCATGCTACTGATATTCTTAGAAAAGCATTATCCTCTGGTATATTTTCAAAAATTGGTTCAAAGCTTACAGCTAAAGATCATGGTGAACTGATTTCTCTCTCTTTTCTTTACCTATCATGATTTTCTTTATTTCCATTTTCTAGTTCTAGCTCCTCAAGTCAGAGGATATCTTTTCATACACACATACACACACACACACACACACACACACACCCCTGAACTTTTCCAGAATATAAGCACTTGGCTATAGGGCAATATTCAAAGAGGCTAAATTGAACTATTGAGAAACTATGAATATGCTCAGATTCCACTTGGGTCTATAATTTTAGGATAGGGACTAAATGGTCTGGGAGAAGCTCTAATCAAAATTAAAATATAACTTCCAAGTTATTCTGCCATTGGCTATTATTAGAGTTTAAGATCATAGAAATTTTTAGGAATACTAATTTTGCTGCTATAAAAATGGGTGAGACATGGAAATGATTGAATTATTCTTCCATATTTCAAGTCCTTAGAGCTTCAACATTTACGCACAAAATGTCTTGCTGAGAAACACATGAACAACCAAATAGCACAATAGTCTTTCATCCCAGAATTTGTTTAAAGCATGTCATTAGTGATAGAAATACTTTAATACACTCCAAACATTTTCTGAAGAAATGTCATAACCAACTTCAAGAGAAAATTAATTCCTTACTAATATTTTCCTCCTGACAATATTTAAATGGGCTTTGAAATATATTTAAAAGTCATCCAAGACCAATATAAAGTAAATTTATTTTGTCACCCAAATTCTTATTTGTCTTAAATCAACTTTCCTCTTACCTAGATTGTGCAGTTTTCCTCATGCAATGGCCTTGAATATTGATTTCCTTGTTAAAGTTTTAAAAGGATAATGTTCCAAATTATAAAAAGCATAAGCACTGAGGGTATTTGAAATTGAAGATAGTTGAAAAAAGTTGCTTTTAGAAAGAGCAAAGAGGACAAGTGAACAATTTAAAAATGGAATGAATGGAATTTAAAAATGCAAATGAGTGAATCATATTTTGCACAGGAGCCAGATGTCCACTTGCTTCCATGTTACACAGTATAAAGGCTTATTTGTAAGGAAAGGTTTACACAATAAAAACAAAATGTTGTATTTAGAAAAACAGTCTATTGATCCATCTGGTTTCAATGTCTATATAAGAAAGGAGAAAAAGAATGGCATTTTGGTTAACTCTACCTCAATTATCAAGATCATATTGCTTAATCTTACTCCAAGAAGGCAGTGAATGTGCACCACTTGGTATGCAAAATTTCTTTGTGCTTCATAAACATTTTTTGTAAAGGGAAGGAGGAGCTACAGCTTTTATAAAAAGTCACATTTCCAAAAATTTTGAGAACCACAGCTCTTCTGTAAATATATAATTATGAAAGCATATTGTTTGCAACTTCTTTTGGTATATATATATATATATATTACTGATGAAATATATGTATACAATATGCGACTGATTAAACAATTATGATTTTTAAGGAGTCAAAGCAATATGCAGGTAAAACTTTTTCTTAGAAGAGTTCAATTTGTTGAATGGGATCAGAAATGAATATGCTTGGGAAATAGCGGGGGGGAAACACAGAAAAAGTCCTTAATTTTAGATTAAGGTTATAAAGATAATCATTTATCCTCAGAAATGTTAATACAAAGAAGCCACATATATCAGACATAAGGAAATGTTAAAATTGTATTACCATGTTTGAGTATTTTTAGATTTATGTGGCTAACATATTTGAGTATTTGTATTAAATGATAGCTTATTCATATTTGTTCCAGTCCACCAAAAAAATAAACTTTGAATTTAGAGAATTGTTAGTTATGTAAGAAGCATTTTTAATTACTCAGTTACTGAATTTAACACTATCATATCACTGGGAAATTTGTGAATGATAGAGGCATAGAAAAACAAAAATGTATATACCCCCAGGGTGCTTAAAATTATTCAAATTGGCCATAGTATACACTACAGATCCTATTTCTTATAATTATTATGTTAATGTTCTTTTGGAAATGTTTATTTCAAATCCAATGATATATGATCATTACTGTGATTTTACTTTTCTATTTTTTAAAGGTTTGCAAAGTAGATATGGAATAGCGAGTCATCAATTACTGAGATGTGGGATGAAGACAGCCAACACATTTAAGTAAGTCTCTCTCACACCCACATCCATAGAACCCAACAGGAACTGCTATCTGATTAAAATTAAGTGTATTTTCCAGCTCATTTCACTAGATTTAGTTCAACCTTTTGCTTTACATAAATAGAACTTGTCTAACTAAATCAAAATTTAAACAAGAAGGCTGGATAACACTCTTTGACTAGTATACTATTTCTGAGACCCTTTCTTCTTTTTCATTTCTGAGTAAGATATTAGGGTAACCTTTTTTCTTTTTCTTTATTTCTTTAAATTGTATTTATTTATTTGTAAGGCAAAGTTATGAAGAAGCAGAGGCACAGAGAGGGAAAGAGAGGTCTTCCATCCATTGGTTCAATCTCTAGATAGCCACAAGGGCCAGAGCTGAGCCAATCCTAAGCCAGGAGCCTGGGACTTCTTCCAGGTCTCCCATGCGGATGCAAGAGCCCATCCTCTACTGCTTTCCCAGGCCATAGCAGGGAGCTGGATCAGAAGTAGAGCAGCCAGGACTCAAACCGGTGACCATATTGGATGCTGGCACAGCAGGCAGTGGCTTTACCCTCTATGCGTCAGCGCCAGCCCTTCTTTCTCTCTTTTATTATTGTTTTTTTTTTTTTTTGGCCTCTATACTTATACACAATTTGTCACCCTTGGGGAAATATAATGGTTTAATAAAAGGCAAATTTGGGAAGCATTTAAAGTTCCAGAGCACTTATGGAAGTGACATAAAAATACCATGCTGTTTTGAAAATTTCTTCACCTAATTCTCTTACAGTAACTATGGAAGCCATTTCATGCAGAAAACAAGAGCTCAGTAAATGCTTCTCAATAGGATGGTAATACTTCTATTTGTTCTCACTAGATATAAAAGTCATTAACTATTACTAACTCTTCTTGGTAAGGATACAAGGAAATAAAATCTTTATTTGATCTTATTATTTTATGAAATCACCAAACTATGCCATCCTGGCTTCTAATGTGGGCAGTCATCTCAACCCTTGCTTCTTACCATGTGGTCTACAGACCAAAAGTATGAACATCACCTTCAAGCTTACCCAAATGGGAATGCTGCCACCCAATGAATCAGTATCTTCAGTTAACAAAATCCAAGTGACTCATAAGCAGATTAAATTTGAGAAGCACTGCTCTAAATCAGAATTTCTTAAAGTAGGATCTCAATCAGTATCAGCATGTATGAGTTGGTAAAACATGAAAGCTGGTCAGACCTACCCTAGGGATCTACTCTATATTGACACATTCTTCAGGTAGTTTTTAAAAACATTACAGTTTGGCCAGCGCCGCGGCTCACTAGGCTCATCCTCCGCCTTGCAGTGCCGGCACACCAGGTTCTTGTCCCTGTCGGGGCACCGGATTCTGTCCCGGTTGCCCCTCTTCCAGGCCAGCTCTCTGCTGTGGCCAGGGAGTGCAGTGGAGGATGGCCCAAGTGCTTGGGCCCTGCACCCCATGGGAGACCAGGAGAAGCACCTGGCTCCTGCCTTCGGATCAGCGCCGTGCGCCGGCCGCAGGCTGCGGCGGCCATTGGAGGGTGAACCAACGGCAAAAGGAAGACCTTTCTCTCTGTCTCTCTCTCTCACTGTCCACTCTGCCTGTAAAAAATAAAAATAAAACAAAAACACATTGCAGTTTGACAAACACTATCCTAAATCATCAAATCCTGATTTTGCTTCAGATATTTTCTTTGTACTAAGTCTTCTGGCTACCTGCTTCTTTTTCACACCTGCTGTAAAAAGAAATCTTGTAACACATTGTATACTTTAAAAAAAAATCCTTGGAGAATTCTAGAGTTCTCTCAAATATTACAATAATTTTAGAATATATTTCCCTATTTTGGTTAATTCATATGTCAACATCTGTCTTATTATCTGATAAAATCCTTATCATCACATATATTTAACTTATATTTACTTTACTTTTTCATACAACAGAAACAATTAAAGAACAGAGGAATTGAATGGGTGGAAAGTAGCCATATTAGTCACATTTACATTTAGTATTTACTATCTCCCCATATCTTCCTATATAGTGTACAAGATGATAGAAAGAAAACCCAAATTCAAAATAAAATTGTAAAAACAGATAATACTTTACAAAAGTGCATATTTTTGAAGACACAAACACAGAAAGGAATAAGAAATATCTTAAAGCCCAGAGTCTCCTAAGAAATACAAGTGAAGTGAGAGCCCTCTTATAGAGGTCTTCAATCTATTGACAAGAAGTTTTAGTGGTCTAATTTTTTCAGAATTACTATTTTTTTTATTTATTTGAGAGAAAGTGACAGAGACTGAAAGAAATGGAGAGAGAGAGAGAGAGAGAGAGAGCGAGAAACACTCCATCAGCTGGTTCACTCTCCAAATGCTCAGAATGGCTAGGGCTAGGATTGAGCAAAAGCCAGAAGCCGGGAAAGCAATCTAAGTCTCTGATGGGTGTGGCAGGAGCTCAATTACTTGAGCTATCTCCACCACCTCCCAGGGACTATGTAGTAGGAAGCTGGAGTCAGGAGCAGGAGCCAAATATCAAACCCAGGCACTCTGATATGGGACACAGATGTCTTAACCCCTGGGCTAAATGTCAGCTCCCAGAAGTGATTCCATCTTTATTGTAAGTTAGGCCACTGCCTCCTCTATGGAGCTTCCCAGTCTCTCTGAGGCAAAGTTAGAAGCAACTCCGCCAAATTCTTATAATCGTCATTGTATAATATGTTGTTATTTTTGGTTTATTTCCTCTCTCACTGGACTACCAATATTTTGAAGATTTAGAACTTTATATTACTGGTCTCTGAATTACTGGTAGCAAGCATGGTCACACCGTTTAGTCATTAATAAATAGTTTGAATGAACAAATGAGTAAACGAATGAAACTATCACAATAAATATAATTATACTCTTTCGATGAGTAATAGCTTAAACTACAATGGAAAATCAGGCATCAGAAATAATTTTCTGTTACATCTTACATTATTATTGTTAGAATGTGATTTACTTTATACCATGTAGCCATTTTTTACAACTATAACTATAGCATAGAATCATCTAATATCACCATCCTGAAGGATCTTGAATATAATGAGATAGACATTATTTTCCTTTTGCTAATGAAGAAATGGGATATTATGATTAAATGATTCATGCACATTTACATAGGATGCTATTGATAAACCAGAGAGATTCTTTATTCATATTCCCTTTGCCCAATGCTGCCATTTGAACTAACATGAAAGAAACTACCAAATGTATGCCTTTCACACTTAAATAATTATGAAAATTACGTTGTATTTCACTTGAGTCATCACTTAGTTCTTAACACATTTTAGGTCTTTACAAAAAAACTGTCATGATTTTTAAGCCTCCAAGTTCTTACTATTTAAAATGGTTTTGTTCCCTTTCTGCTATAGGTATTTTTTAAAATTTTTGAAGACCCCATTTCACCTTAAAAAGCGCATTCCTCTCTCCATGCCCATGTTTGAATCTGTTTAGTGGTGAAGAAGTTGTACCTTCTTCCTAAGGAGAGAAGAGACAACAGCCCTGGGCAGCAGGATTTCCTTTCTGTGCTTTGGTCCCAGACAAGCATGAATAATGTTGGGCGACCTTTAGCTCCAGACTGTTGAGCCTATTGTATGGTGACTTCCTTTTCTTGTATGTTGCAAAGAGGAGTTCAGATGTCAAATCTTCAAATTGGAGCATCAGAAATTTACAATACAAAAAAATCCCAAAGATCTTTGGAGCAAGAGAATCAACATCGTTAATAGTACCATGCCTTTACTCAACACACTTGAAGAAAGGTAGATAAATAAGGCTATAGGGAAAAAAAAGCTGTAGTCACAGTAAAGATAATAATATATACAAACTCATGCTTATGAATACAGTTAGTCATTAATTTGGCTATCAATTCATTTAGTTGGTTTCTAACTTAGACCTTTTTAATGAGAACATTTGTATAATTCTCTTATTCAGGTGATAAAATCAGTTCAAGAAGCACCAACTCCGTGACTAGGAAAATGTTTCAGGATAAATACACTTAAAATGTTTCTCTGAGCTAAAGGTAATGCAGTGTGTGTGTGTGTGTGTGTGTGTGTGTGTAAAACCCTCCAGCTAGTAACCCATTATGAGATTTTTGAAATATTGGAAGGCAAAATATATTATTTTTGTATTCCATTTCCCAACCATGCATACTCTACAATGACTTCATAGATGTCATGTCAAAGTCATAATTTTTTAACCATGTGGGAAGAGATATGGAAAATAATGAATATTGAAAAATGCCTTAAACTTCAGTGCTAGCAGGCTGATTTACAGCCAATTCCCAGCAAAACAAGTCTAAAGAGATTTATTTTAGAAATCAATCAGCTAAAGCATCTAATTCCTTCAGTTCATGGATAATATAATTCCTGAAATAAGAGCTCTAAAATATATGACCTTGTAAATCTTTGATTCTTTGAAATGTACTCATGATTATTCAGATTCTTCTTCATCATGAAACAATGATACTGTGATGTAGGAGGAAAAACAAGCTCTGTACCACTAGGAATGGCATTGCCACTGGAGAAATATCTTTTAATACTGAAGTTAACATATTCTTGCTTGTGTAAAAAAATACTGTAGCCATACCGAAGTTCAATTAGAAGGAAAAATCTAACAGCTAATTAAAGAGTTGTGTGTACTAGATTAAAGTCAGATTTAATATGTAAACAAGATTTTTGAATGTGTATTTGGCTAAGGATATGTGATCTAGTCACATATGCTGAGTGGTCTGGAACATAAGAAGGAGTAAGAGCCAGTTGAGATTTTTAAACTAAAAATTAGAGAATTTTAATGTCTGAAATTCATCTTTGTATGGTTTTACAATTGCATTACTACTTTCTAATAAAAGCATATATTTCCATTATTCTGTGAATTTTCAACCCTATCAACCAGGAAACTCAAATTTCAAAGTTCTCACACAGTCAAAATGTACCAACGTGGAATGTATAATCAAGGACTCAGCCCTAGAACATATTTAATTCTGTTCAAATAAAGTGTCTCCTCTCCTAAATGATCTTACATATCAAATCTCTGTATTAATCTTTATGTATTATTTCTAACTTTAAAAATATCAGTGTGCATTACTTTTGCAGAATTATTGAGTTGTATATCTGAAAATCAATAGTAGGTTTGGTGACATAATTATTCTCTCAAAAGCCAGGCATTCGTAAATGTGGAGCTATGTCTTTTTCTAGTGGTAAAGTTCAGGATTTGTTAATTGGTGCAATCAGAGAGTAATGGTTCCAAGGCTGCTGCAGCAGTATACTTACCGAAATTGAAGTACAAGCCAGGTCCATGGCGATAAGCACTCATTTACCCACAAAACTGAGAGATTATACTGCCGAATAATCAATTTGCATAGATATTTGTACATAGATGCGTCTCTGCTCCATGCATGCACGAAAAAGCAGAGCTATGTAGGATCTTACTTCTTCACTCTCCAAAGGACAAGTCACTAAACAAGAGAAGTTACAAAAAAAAAAATATAGAAGAGAGTCATAAAATACAGGAGTACTATCTTCAGCCCACATAAGCTTCTTATATGATTGTGCAATTACAAAAAGTATTTCAGTGATGTAGCACTGAATTAAAGACCTTTATTTGAAAGAAAAGAAATACACAGCCTTATAATGAAAAGGAAAAAAATGATTTCAGAAGCCGGTGTTAATTTTCTGACTTCAAAGTTCACGTAAGAGTCTTGTAAATGACATGCTCTTAACATTCACATTCCATAGCTTTCAAATATTTTACATGCATAAAATGAGTATGGTGCGTTGATTCAGTCATCGCCTACAGCAGGACAGACATCCGTCATTTCATTTATTTTACTATCGATAACTGGGAGCCTCTGGTAAGCCTCCCCCTACCACAGAATTTATATTATTAAAGATTATGTAAGGAAACCATACTGTATTTACATATGTACAACTTGAGATGCACTAGGAAAAGCAAGCAATCAGGAGCTTCAATTTGGTGTCTTAAGAATCGCCCTGTATTCTTATTATCCTGCAATTGTGTTCAGAGCTTGAGAATTTAAAATGGAGGAAAAAAATCCTTATACTAACAATCACCATTTTTCCTGTAATCAAGTCCATACTTCTTTTCATATTCTTTTGGTGGATTGCTTTTCCCTGTTTATTTTTGTTGCTAAACAAGGTGAGAGTTTAGGTGACATTTTTCAATGATGACTTCTTTTGCAATAACAAAATCTTAAATGCAGTCTCTTTTCTCCTGCTATGTGCTATCAAATTCATCTTTGTATGGGAGGCACAAACTAAAATGAGTAAATTGCCCTTAGTAGGTAGTACTCTTTTCCTGGCACTAGGAAGTAAATTGTCAAAGAGTTACACAGGGTTTTAGCTGCATGATTCCCATTGACTTTAATGGGAGTTGCAAGGAAAACACCCCATGCAAAGCTTAGAAAAGTAGAGGTTAGTTTTCTTTATGGCCTCCACCGTATTTTGTACCCTCTAGCCTTGAACATTCTCTCCTCATATCTCTCCTTATTCCCCACCCCACCCCCATCTTTGTACCTTATCCCACAAAGAATATAAATTTCAGGCCCTGTCATTTAATCATTCCTGTATGTAGCTAGTCTACACATTCCACCTCAACACCATTTCCATGGCGCCACAATTAAACATCTCACTCTCCAACCTCCCAACCCCAAGGCATTCACTACCTTCCTGTTTACAGGATAGATATAAAAAATGAATTTTCATGTCTTTATGAAATATTGTAACATTAGCTGGATATTTTTGAAACATATTATATTTTAAACAATATCAGAGTTGCCTAAATCATATTATTTAATCTTTCTTAAATTTAAAATTTCTTAAAGATTTCTTATATGATCAGTTTTCCCATTATTTGACTCTTAAGTCATTTAAGTTCCTGAAAGTTTGCATAGAGCACAAATGTGTAAGCTTCTGGGAAATACAGCCAGCATCGCAAGACAGTTATTACAGCCTCTTAAGCAGCAGTTAGCTAAAGTGCTTCATAGGACAACTAGCGAACAACATAATAGATACCATGATGTTAGCTGCTGGCAGAATGGGCACAAGATTCCATCATGTCTGAGGAATGAAGGACACCCTTGTCTGTGTGATGGAGACAGCAATACCACAATTGCCTGATGTCACTCTTATATAATGCATTATAACACACAGACACACACACACGTACACCCTATGGGATTGTTCTAATTCCCTAGCAAGTTTTGATTGTGGACTGAGCCAGACTAGGCTAGCTTTGAGCTGGATTTTTATGAGTGTTTGGTTCTGTATAGAATACACAAAAGGCCCAATCTTCGTGCCTACCACTTTTTTCATTACTGTGGCATTAATTACAAAGTAAGATGCCAAGTAATTGGCAAGGAGAACACTACTTGCTTATTTATCGAATACCTTTATCCTATGCTCCTGGCTTCTCTCCTTTACTGCACTTTTATAATAGATTCCCAGGGTAGCAATGTAAAGAGTAAAGGGTCTTTCCTTTGCGCATTTATCACTCAACTTACCTTGAATTCTTTGTCCTATTTTAAATCATACCAGTAAGAAGGAATTTGCCCTCAGCAACATACTAATCAACACACCATATACAAACACATGGAGTCTCAAACAAAGAAAAGAGTACGTTCTGCTATAAGCAAATGGTTTGCTACCAAAAATCTTCCCAGTTCATTCCTGTACCTATGGATTCATTATTTCTCTGAAACACTGAGAGCGTAAAATACCAGATGCATCAAGCAAACATCCTCAAACCTTCTCAACACTTAGAATAACTCAAAAAACACACAAGGACCTTTTTTGTTTTTTGTTTTTTTCTCAATTGGTTGTCTTATTTGCTCCCGGTTATTACCAATTGCTACCGTTGCATCTCTATGTTGATCGTGACAAAAGATATGTTTTTCATAAAATAACACATTTGGACATAATAAGGAGAACCTTGGTTCCCATCTTCCCCGTTGCCGAATAGCACGTCTCGTGCTGTACAGGCGCAGTTGGCTGTCCAAGGACCCTGATGCCAAATTGCGGAGGATATTCTTGTCGCAGTGACAAATTGCTTGCTGGTGGGCTGTGCAGAGTGTTGTTCTGGCAGCATCAGAGTTGTCTACGTGTCTGTCACTTGGTTAGGCTGCCTCGATGCTAGGTGTTTCCACCGCACTCCCCACCCTCTCCCCTTCTCTTCTATGCATTTTTTAGACTTACCTTTGCTTCCCAGTGAGTGGGGGCTTTAACATTCACTTGTCAAAGAGCCTATGGAAAATGCCTCGAAAGCTCTCGGTACAGGTATCTGTAGGGTGAGAGAAGGATTTTTTCACAGTGCCATACTTGTTTTCCATACAAACCTACAGGCTGCCATTACAGCCACCCACATTCCGGTTGGCAAGGCACTTATGCAGTGAGCGCCTTAATGAATCCAGACAAAACTGCACAGCATTCCTGACACACAGGAAAATCATGCATTTTAATGATATTGCAGGGTAATTTCTTTCTTTAGTCTGTAAAATATTGATGGTCAATGTTACTTGATGACATTTCAGCAAGCAGATTATTCTGCTTCTAACCTGACACTATTTTAAAACAAAAGAGATTTCCTTTATAAATTCTTGATATAAGTATGTTTTTTTCCTTGAGGATCTACTGAAAGAGTAAAAAGCAGAAACATAAATGAGTAGAAAATATTCAGTAAACAGATTAACTGGTAAACATACTGCAGGCAATCCCAACAGTGTCAGTTGACTACCTATGAAGGTATATAATTTAATGCCTCCAGATAATTTGTGGGTAAAGTCTAGCCAGCTGACATGATGAGATAAACAATAAATAACACTCCTATTTCATTACTGAGTTTATAATTAGATGTACATGTAAAGGCATTTTAAAACTACAGGAAATAGAGTATTTTAAAATTGTTTTATAAAACTGAAAAGGATAAAGTAATGAATACAAAAGACATAAGAGACCTTTTTTATTCTATGGAATGACATAAAGCATATTCTGCAGCATTGGTGTATTATTTAAGACTCAGGGATGTATAAAGGAATCTAATGGGTTTTTTCACAAAAGATAATATA